GGGGCGGGGGACAGCCCCGGTACCATTTTCTCTGCCCTTCCACCAGGTCCAGGCCCACCTCTCTCCTTAAATTACTCTCTTTGTGGCTTCGCTTAGGAAACGTGGACTCCAGTTCTTTTTTAAAATATGTCTTTATTGATTTCAGAGAGGGGAAGGAAGGGGAGAGAGAGAGAAACATCAATGATGAGAGTTATTGATCGGCTGCCTCCTTCACACCCCCTATTGGGGATCGAGGAGCCTGCAACCCAGGCATGTGCCCTGACTGGGAATCAAACTGCAACCTCCTGGTTCATAGGCCAATGCTCAATCACTGAGCCACTCCAGCAGGCAAGGAACAAGCGATTTTAATGAAAATATTTTACTTAACCCAGTATATCCAAAACATTATCATTTCAACATTTGTATAAAATGATTGTTTTTATATTGATTTTTTTGTACTAAATCTCCAAAACTTAGTGTGTAGTTTCCACTCATAACATGTCTCAATTCTGAGCAGCCTCCTTCCAAGTGCTCAAAGGCCACACGTGGCTAATGGCTCCTGTCTTGGGCAGCTCTGCCCTGAAAGCCTGGGCCTCATCCTGGTGCCAGGACCAGCCCTCCCCTCTCTGAGTGTCAGAGGGAAAACAAGGACCTTGGGCTCTGAAATACATTGTCCAGGGTTCTCTTCCGACCCCCGTAGGATGAGAGGCCTCGCTGTGTGTGGGGACAGGCCAATAAGAGGGCTCTTGATCCCAACCACAGAGATGCTCAGAACCTCTTGGAAGCCGCCAGCAGTGGAGCCGCTGTCTCCGTGAAGGTTGTTGCCAACATCGCAGCCAACCTGATCGCCTTCCTGGCGGTGCTCGCCTTCATCAACTCCGCCTTCTCCTGGCTGGGGAACATGGTGGACATCCAGGGGCTCAGCTTCCAGGTACAGCCGGCCGGCCTACTCGCCTGTGGAGGGGACGTCCTGGGCAGTGGGTGGTGGGTGGACACCCAGCAGAGCCCAGGGGACCCCAGGTCCCAGCAGAGCCTCTTCCCCTGTGCCTCACTCAGCTCCTCTGCTCCTACCTCCTACGCCCTGTGGCTTTCTTGATGGGCGTGTCCTGGGAGGACTGCCCGGTGGTGGCGGAGCTGCTGGGGATCAAGTTGTTCCTGAATGAGTTTGTGGCCTACCAGGAGCTCTCCCAGTACAAGGAGCGCCGCCTCGCAGGGGTTGAGGAGTGGGTCGGTGGCAAGAAGCAGTGGATCTCCGTAAGTGTCCTGGTCCCCTCCCTGAGGTGAGGGCATGACAGGGCTGCTCTCCCTGCTCCCTGGGCTCAAGCTGGCTGCAGGCCTCTCGGCCATCACCTGGAGACCTCGGGAGGCTGAGGTGCGGGGAAGGAGCCTAGTTGGAGATGATCTGAGATGTGGCTGGAGATGGGCCTCCATCCTCTTTGGCCTGGGGCCAGCTGCTGCCCCCTGCCCTTCCTATGGGAAAACTGGGATAACACCTGCCATAGCTAACCCCAAAGGAATAGGTGTGAGCCTCCAGTGAGCCCGAGAGTGAGGTAGGGAGACCTCACCACCACAGTAACTGTCATATTGCATTAAGTTCAGGGGTTGCTTCTTTCTGTTAAAATTTATTTTAAAAACCATAAAAGCTTGCCTGGCCGGCAGGGCTGTGGTTGAGCATCAACCTATGAACCAGGAGGTCAGGGTTCGATTCCAGGTCAGGGCACCCTCAGCCTGAGAGGCTCACAGGGGACAGAAATGCAAGACTGCAGAGTGTTGGGAGAGTCATTCACCCAAGTGCCCCTGGTTGCAGAGCGTGGTAGGAATGAGCAAGCCTGGGTCACACCCAAAAGGCTGGTAGTTAAGCTAAGCAGCTTGAAGGGCATCTGAGGTGCATGTGCAAGGCCTGGGAGGGGCAGCACCGAGTGCTCCCAAGGTCAAAGCCGCAGAGCAAGTGGATGACATTAAGCCAGGGAGTGGGGTGGCATAGGGTGCTCCCATCCCATTGGAGGGAGCCTCTCCTCATTCATCTGCTGTAATTCCAGGTCAGAGCGGAAATCCTCACGACCTACGCCCTCTGTGGATTTGCCAACCTCAGCTCCATTGGGATCATGCTGGGAGGCCTGAGTGAGTCTTACGGGGACCTCCGGGCTCCTGGACCATCAGGGACCTGGACACTATACCTGGCTGTGAAACAGCTTCCCGGGGATCTGGAGACCTCAGTCGCCCCCCTTGTATAAATTGAGGCCTGAGTGAGGTGACCATGGAGGTTCCTCCCAGCCCAGGAATTCCATGATTTCTCTGCCTCTGGGAATGGCCCAGCCAAGCCTGGCTCAGGGATCTGGGGAGGGACAGGAGGTGTGGTGCTGGCCTGTCCCCTGAGACTCTAGCCTGCCATTTCCCACACCCACAGTGGACAGGCAGGCCCGGGGCGCCTAGGGAGGAGTGCTCCACCAGCTCTCAGCTCTCCACGGCAACCACTTCCACTCCACAGTCCCCCTGCCTGGGTGTAACCACCTCATTTTACAGAGCAGGACACAGATCCTTTTTTATATATATTGATTTCAGAGAGAGGAGGGGAGAGGGAGAGAGAGAGAAACATCAATGGTGAGAGAGTCATTGATCAGCTGCCTCTTGCTCGCCCCCTGTCTGGACGAGCAGCAACCCGGGCATGTGCCCTGACAGGTAATCGAAACAGGATCTCCTGGATCCTAGGTCGATGCTCCACCGCTGAGCCACAATGGCCGAGTAGGACACTGATTCTTAGAAAAGTGAAATGAGGACCTAAGTCACCCGCCCGGTAAATGGCTGGGCCTGTACGTAATCCCAGGTCTGCCTGGCTCCAGACTCATGTTCTTTTCCTACGTCCGCCACTGGGGACATGTGTGGGGAGCTGTGGGTGCTACTCAGCGGCCCACGTCAGGCCAAGGAGGTAACCCTGAGTTCCCCAACTCAGCCAGTGTCATGAGGACAACGCCCATCCCCCCAGCCACCCTGAAGAGGAAGGGGAGGGAGCACATGCAGCCAGAGGTGCAGAATGTGGGCAGGAAGGTTCGTGGCCTCCTGGCGCTGAGCAGTCCTGTCCTCTTGCAGCGTCCATGGCCCCCAAACGGAAGAGCGACTTCTCCCAGATTGTGCTGCGGGCACTGTTCACTGGGGCCTGCGTGTCCCTGGTGAACGCCTGCATTGCAGGTGAGTCCCTGATGGGTTTTCTAGCTGGGCTGGGCAATGGGGCTCTGGCCTCTTCGGAAGCCCCTGGGGGTGGGAAGTTGGGGGAGAGACGCTGCTCAGGGGCTGCTTTCCCTGCATAGGGATCCTCTATGTGCCCTGGGGGGCTGAGGTCAACTGCACGAGTCTCCTGAACACGACCCTCAGCAGCAGCAGCTTTGAGGTGTATCAGTGCTGCCAAGAGGCCTTCCAGAGGTGAGTGCCTGCGGGAGGCCTTGGGCGCCGTGCAAGGGATAGAAGTGGCGTGGCTATGGTCAGCGTGGCCAGGGGAGACTTTCCCAGGGTTGCACAGCCTTCAGTGGCCCCAGAGCCAGTCCTGGAGCTCAGGACTTTGCTTTTTTCCAGCACCAGCCCCGAGTTCAGCCCAGAGGCCCTGGACAACTGCTGCCGATTTTACAACCACACGATCTGTGCATAGTGGGGACAGCGCACTTTTGTGCCTCCTGGCTGCTCTTTTTCCTCAGGAGGCAGTTGACCCCCCACCTTTCCCTCTCCTGGCCTCTTCTCGGGGAGCCACACTGGGCAGGAGTGGTGGGGTGAGTGGGTGGAAGCTGGGAGGGCCTGTATGTGAATGAAGGACAGTCCTTACCCCCGCACTGCTCCCCTATTTCCTGCCTCCCCAATGTGAATTCTCAGGATCACCTCCCCCTCCTCTTTGCTCCCCTTCACATCTGACAGCACCCGGGCTTCCCTAGCCCTCTTCCCGCCATGAGACTACACAGCCATCTCCCAGCGTTGGACCCTGATCCCTTCCTTGCATGACTGTTGGATCTTGAGCTGGCTGAGGGCTCCCTACCCTCCTTCCCTGGACCCCCTTGCTCTATCAGCATGTGGCCGATGTCCTCAGAAGACTGTAAGCCCTGTGGGTACAGGGCTGAATACCTCTGTCTCCTCTCACAGGATACAGCCAGTGCTGGGCCCATGAAATGTGCTGGGCAAATCCCTGTGGAGTTGAATTGCACCCTCTCAGAGCCAGCAGTGTGTCACCATGTCGGGGACTAAACGTAATGTGATGTTACAGGGGGTCGAATTATGTCCCCCCAAAAATGTGTCCAAGTCCTAACCCCAGTACCTGTGAGGGTGAACGTATTTGGAAATGGGGTCTTACAGGTGTAATTCAATGAAGTATCTCAAGATGAGATTATGCTAAATATAGAGTGAGCCCTAAATCCAGTGATTTATAGAGAAAGGGGAGGGCGATTTGAGACACAGGCACAGAGACACACAGTGAAGGCCATGGAAAGATGGAAGCAGAGACTGGAGCCATCAGCTCCAAAACATAGCCCCCCATGGGGACAAGCCAAGGGATGTCTGGAGCTTCCAAAAGCCAGAGGGGACTCAGACGGGGAGTGTCCTGTAGATTTCGGACTTCTGGCCTCCAGAACCGTGAGTGAATAAATTTCTGTTGTTTTAAGTCACCGCATCTGCATCATGCCCTTGATGAAGGTGTCAGCAAGCTTTTTCTTACAGCGCCAGAAAGTAGATCATTTAGGTGTTTGTTGGCCATATGCTATTATCTCTGTGCAACTACTCAACTTAAGACAATTCTTAAGCAAATGAGAATGGCTATGTTCCAGAAAAAGCTGAGTTTACGAAGGCAGGTGGCCAGCCCCCAGGCTGCAGTCTGCTGACCCCTGCCTTGGGTGAAGGGGCTCATCCTCCAGGCCCCCCTCCCATTTCCCAGCTCTGCTCCTCGGCGTTAGAATACAAAGGAGAAGGTGAGGCCACCTGGCAACACCCTGGGGATGGGGGAGCCTTGGGTTAGGAAGAGGGGAGAAAAAACAGCAGCAGCAGCAGATCCCCAAGAGTGTGATTGGTTCTCCAGAGTCACGTGCCCTCCCCCAGACCAACCATTAAGACCTGGAAGGTGGCATGTGAAATTGGGGAAACACATATACTCAGCCCATAGCACTGGGTCATAAAGACCAGACAACTTTGGCTCCCTGATCCGCAGTGTAAGGGGTATCACCACCCCGAGGCTGCCCAGTCGTGAAGAAACCTGAGTCACACGGAGGGTAGCAGGTAGGCACGGAGTCAATAATCCCAGCTGAGACCAGCCCTCAGGGCATCCGGCCAAAATGCTAGGTATGAGCGAAGGAGCCTCCAGGTGGTCCCAGTCCCCTGCCAGTCTAGTCTCCCAAGCCGAGGCCTCAGACATCACGGACAGAGACAAGCCACCCGTCCCTCTGGCACCCCACCCAGTCTGGTGGTTGTCAGAGGCGACCAGGTTAGGGATGGGCTATTTATTATTACACAGGATCAGACACCTGAAGCAGCTCCAGAGTAGGGATCAGAGATGTCTGGTCATGAAGCGCGTGGAAGGAGAGAAAGGTGAGACTGAGGGTTGTCTTGTATCAACAAAGGAGCCAAGTAGCAGCTCTTTCCAGCAGGGTCCTTATTGCAAGAAGCTCCCACAACGCCGGCTGCAATTTCCCTCCCTCCACCAGGTGGGGTGGGTGCACTGGCTGTGTCCGGGGCGCTAGAGACCCTTTTGTTACCGGGCCACTGCGCGCATTGGGGGGGTTAGTCCTGAAAATGTCCAGTGTTTTCCATAGAGGAGCCTCAGGGCTGCCCTGGGAGTGAGGGGCAGCCATATCTCACCTCTCCAACGGCACAGTGCTCCCTGCTCTCATTTCCTTTGACCAAATTCCTAAAAAGCAGTTTGTTTTTATTTATTTTATTTCTCAGTTACAGTTGACATTCACTGTTGTATTAGTGGTTAGACATTTATCAAGTTACAAAGTGATACAATTTGAAAGCTGCTGCTTTTTAAAGGAGTGGTGAGAGCCTGGCCCTCTGTCCTGCTCTGGTCTTCCCCTCCTGGCTGTTTCGCCATTTCTCATCCACTTACAATGAGCTGCACAAAATCCATTCAGACACGGAGCATAGAGACCAAAGAGAAAAAGACTAAATCCTAGAAAAAGTTGCATAAGCCTAAACCCTCAGGAGAGTGCTAGCACCAGAGGTGCCGCTGAGCAACCCTGGAGGGGACTTACTGCCACAGGTACCCTCAGAGGTTACCTTGGGAAGGGAATCTACCCCGGGGGGGGGGGGTGGTTGCATCAGGCCCCCAGGGCCTTGTTTCTAGCAAAATATTGCTGTTCCTAGAAATACTGGCCTCAGGCACACCCCTGCGACCCAGGAGCTGTCTGGGTTTGTGAGTTAGACTAAGGGTGGGCTGTCGGTCCAGGGATGAGGGGACCATGAGGCCATCTCCAAGGGTGGGCCAAAATAACTTCATCAGGCTGCTGAACCAGTCCTGGACCACCTGTTGCCTGACCTGCTGCGTAATAATTGTGTTTCCTATTGCCGCTGTGTTACGTGTAGCCCAAAGCATCTGTGTCTTTCTTCCCCAAAGCCCCTTTCTGGCTTAAGGTAGCAGAGTTGATTCTCTGACTTACAACAGAAACCCCTTGGCTGACGCACAGAGTAGTGAGCTGGGCTGTAAGCCTTGTTTAGGGGAGAGGGGATGTGAGCTCTTGGGCTGTCACTTCGAGCCCCACGAGTCTGACCTGGTTAGGATCCAAGAGCAAGCACTGTGAGGGGAAAGAGAGCCCGGCTTCAAAACAGTCCTAGGGAGCCCGGCCAGGTGTGGCTCAGTGATTGAGTGTCGACCTATGAACCAGGAGGTCACGGGTTCGATTCCCGGTCAGGGCACATGCCCAGGTTGTGGGCTCCTCGATCCCCAGGGGGCGTGTAGAAGGCAGCTGATCAATGACTCTCATCATTGATGTTTCTCTCTCTCTCCCTCTCCCTCCCTGTCTTTCTAAAGTCAATAAAGACATTATATATATATATTAAAATAAAGAGCTTTCAGCACAGTGGCCAGCTGCTCAAAAGGGCCTCAATCCCTGCACGTACCCTGCTCCTTGTGCTCACTCCAGGCCTTTGTACTCTGTACTTTCTCTTGGCTCCTCCTGGAATGTTCTCTCCTGAATTTTTATCTCACTGCTTCTGACTCACTCTCCTGGCTCAGCCAGGACATTTTCAGTTGCAACAAACAAAAAATTACACCCAAAGAGGCTTACGTGGAAGGAAGTTTTTTGTTATTAAGGCTGTAAAGTCCAAGCATGGTCTTACTTAAGGTGCGGCTTGATCAGGGGTTCACGCGTCACTGTCAACACTCGTTAACCCTGAATTGGCTCCCGGGCCCGTCTGCAAATCAATTTCTGTGGCCAGAGAAGTGGCACAGGCTGAATGTACCCCCCGAATAATTTGAGCGGATACCAGGGGTGACTGTGGCTTCCCAGAAGAAAATCTGTCTTTATAAGAAGGATCGATGGGTGCTGGGCATGAGAAACAGCCGTGGACTTGTGTTTTAGGTCAGGACAGAACTTGCTGGTGCTCACTGCCCTCTGTCCATGATCAAGTCATTTCCTGCTGTGACACCCACTTGGAGCTCCGGGCACGTCACAGCACTCATCAGCTTGTAATTACACCCTTGTGAAGTTGAGCACTGCCTGTCTCCCGCCCCACATTATGAACTCGGGGGCGGGAGGCAGCCGTCATCCCATCTTCAGGGCCCAGCCCAGTGCCCACACATGCTAGACGCTCAATAGAGTCTGTCTGGGAAGGGATGAGTGTGAGACCCTGGCTACCATGTGGCCCAGCCTGGTACCTTGACTTTTTTTTTCTTTTAAAAAATAAATATATATATATTTTATTGATTTCAGGGAGAGAGAGAAACATCAATGATGAGAGTCATTGATCAGCTGCCTCCTGCATGCCCCCTGCTGGGGATCGAGGAGCCTGCAACCCGGGCATGTGCCCTGACCGGGAATCGAACCCTGACCGTCTGGATCCCAGGTTGATGCTCAACCACTGAGCCACGCCGACTGGGCAACCTTGACTCTTTCCAGCTATATTGCCACTTAGGTCAGAGTCTCCTCCCTTCAAAGTCTTCTCCCCCTGCCAGCAGGCTTGGGGACACTTACACAGGATGCACTCCCCCAAAAGAGAATGTCAGTTTTCCCAGGGGCCGCCTGAGACCCAGAACTTTGGGCAGGCAACTCAGGGCAGCGGAAATGAGGCGGTGAATCAGAGGAGGAGCCGGGGGAGAGGAGGGTGATTCTGGATTAAGGACTTTAAGATGAGTGACTCATGATCGCTGCGGCTGACATTTAAAAGGCCCTGTGTGCTTTTGGTCACCCGGGTGCTGCTTTGCATTTTGCACCACATTTGTCCTGGGAACGAAGCAGCCTTCAGTGGCTCTGGGGTATATCATGTTTCGCTTTTCGCTTTTTAAGCACCGGCGATGTGCGGCTCCTCAGTGTCCCGTATGTAACTCATTATTGCCAAGGCTTATTTTCATGGAAGCTGTTGCCCAGTAGAGATGAGTTGGGCTTTGGTGTCAGAGAGGGCACAGTTTGCACCCTGGTTCTGCTTTCTGTGTGACGTCGAACAAGTTACTTAACCTCTCTGAGCCTCCACTTCCTCTTCAGTAAAGTGGGGATAATAGTGCCAACCTCATAGGGCTTTGGGGGGGGGTAAATGGGGCCATTTCTGGGTAGAGGGAGCTCCAGGTGTCGCCTAAACTTTGACAGCATGGTGGAAGGAGTGGGAGGAGACGTGTGTGTCGTGGGAGGGAGAAGCATGGGGAAGCCACAGGGCTCTGT